CAGTGCTGTAGCACCTAGTGGGCAGCCTAATGCCGAATCCGGCTTCCTCCCATCTCCTGAAGGCAACGATTCTTCGGACAGCACGCATTTCCGCAGGGTTTGGGCCGTTCCAAGATGTTTTTGGCGTATGTTGAGCATCACTTCTCATCATTCTGGACTTCGGCAGTTCCGCCGGGCCATGATGGTATTTTGCCGTCGGATGGGGGGATATGAAGAAGGGAGGCATACGTAGAAATTCGGGTATTCGAGCAAAAACAGCAAAAGATTTTTTATTAAATTTTACTTTTTCGGGGCATGTATTATTAGTTTGTATTGTTTATGAATATTCACATTGCTAGCTCCTACTGCATGAGGAACGCGCTGAGTTGTATTCACGTAGACTGTTGATCATTTGATTTGCGCCGCGTATGATCAAATATAGCTATGCTTCAAGCAAAGAGCTCAATTTTCTTATTTTAATACACCAAATTCAAGAAAACAACGAAATTAACGTAACTCAATGGTACACGTAACTCAACCCCGAAGCCCAAGCACTCCAAAGAATATTGCAGTTTTCGGCTCCCGACATTCGCAAGCAATCTTCTTATCCTCGCTCAATCCGCCCTGTGAAGTCGTAGCCTTCTCCCATAGTAACCGTCGTCTCCCAGCGCCCCCTGTTTTAGGAATAACTGCTTTTCCTGCCCCAGAAATCCTTACTCCCTCTCCCCCCTTGTGATCCCGTTTTGCATATTTTTTATATACACACAAAAGAACAAAATGTAACATTCTAGAACAAATTTTTGTCTATCACTTCTCGTGTTTTGACACGACATAGACAGTTTGTTTTCTGAATAATCAACGCTGAATTTGCAGCAGTATGGGTACATTGAGTGTGCAGCCGCCGACCGGTTCGATGAGAAACCTCACCGAAGTGTTCATTCTGCTACGCAACAATGCACAGCAAAACAAATTCATCTATGCCAATAGTATTGGCGGCAGCACTGCTGGTCAGCTTTTTATGCGTATTTTTTTGCATCTATACAATGCAGAAAACGCATATTGTCGAGGGGTTGTCTGTGTGTGTGTGCGTCTGTACCGATTTTTCATCTCGACATATACTAAGGCTACAAGAAAACTTAATCTCCATGCATGTATAGGCTTCTGTCCCCCAAAATGGAGACTCTTGTCTCTTCCATGTTAATGATATTGCAATTTAGTAATATCCCTAGCTATAAACAGGCAATTTATAAGTTGCATATCACTGAGCAAAAATGATACATTTGCAGATGAGCGAATGTCGCTGGTTGCACTGGACGAGGAAGCGGCAACGGCTCACGCGTCCGGATATAATCGTATGCCCCCCGAATGGGTCAATTACCTGGATGAAGCACAATACGAACTTACAAGGTTTGCCGATTTTCTTTTTTTGCTTTTTTGATTTTTCCGAATTTTTCCATCGATTTGAATTGCAGAATCCGTTCTCGATTGAAACAGATCCGGGAGATGCAGCAAAATTTCATGTCGAAGCCGAGCTTTGTTGAGGATTTGGATGCGCAGAAAGCAATGGACACAAGTACTAGTGAGGTTACTCGAATGTTTTCACACTGTCAACGCTTGATCAGGTCCTCTCACATG